TGAAGGATCTCATCAGTTCAGCATGGTGGGTGTCAACGGATTTCAAAGGTATAGAAGGCATGATGGTCACCACATGGTTGTGTTTTCAGGGTCCCAGCTTAGTTAATTCATCCATCCGTCTGGTCTTTCACCTGATCTCACATATATATCCTGCTTTCAGCAAGAAGCAGACACATCCTTGAGATGAAGGTGCAGCCTCTGGGCTGGAGTAGAGCGGACTCTGGTGGGAGGGTTTTGCTGCTAATGTATTTATGGAATGAATGTATTTCATTCAAATCTGTATTCCTCTAGGAAGGATTAAAATAAAAACCTTTTTTTAAAATACAGGCTTCCCCTTGTAATCTCATTTTGTGGAAGAAGAAGAATGAGTCATTTAGGGAAAGCTTAGGTATAGCTTGGTTTTCTACGGTTAGAAGTGGAGAAAGTATTTTCTAAGTAGCATAATTTTGGGATAATATTGTAATGTATTTCTGCATAGCAATGGTTAAATGAACTATGCTTCCTGTGTTTCCCATTCTCATCTCCAGCCCTCTTCCTCCCTAAGGGAGTGCCTTTATTCTGCTGCCTTCTTGGAGAACTTCGGTGGGTGTACAGTTGAGGGTTGGGGTGAGGTGGTGGTGGTTAGAGCTGGCTGCTGATACTGGGTCATGAAGCCTCTATTAGACGGCGCTGGTGGGACTGGGGCAGCTCCAAACAGCCTTTTGCCAAAGGCATCCTGGTGGCAGGCCACCTCTGTTCCCAGGAAACTGGTGGTACCGAACTACCAGCTCCCTCTCTCCGTCCATCTCACTAGCTCATGCTGGGTTAAATGCCTTCATTTCCCAGCTCCAGTTGAGATGCCATCCATGATTGTTAGCCTGGTAGGAAAACAGGAAGCCTGGTAAACAGTTTGAGAATGTACCTGTTGCTTATTTACAACTGTCTCTTCCATGTTTGACTTCTTAGACTTAAATGGCACATTTTAAGTCATTCCCAGGAAATGAATCAGCTGGTAACTGCCCTTTTGCCAAGAGTTTACTCAGCCATCTGTACCTATTGCAGGTGGCCTCCTCTGCTGCTGCTGTGGGATCAATCTGTTGGGTAAAGAGTCACACTGAGAGGCAGGACATGAGTTGTGGGCTCCGGAGCCCTGCTGAATGTCTGCAATCTGGGCTTCATTGCATGATGGTTTGTATCCTTAGCCAAGTTTTGTGTACTCTTTATACGTCTGTTAACTATAAAAAGAGAATAAAAGAGTTCCCATTTATAATACTGTTTGATGTTAGTTAATACATGTAAAGGGCTACAACAGTGCCCCACATACAGTAAACAGTATTAGCTAATTGTCTTCAGTTTTAAATTACCCCAGCAGAGATTTCTAGCCTTAAGAAGTCTGTAGGTGACCCAAGAAGCCCCAGGTTTTACTAACAGAAGTAAAAGACTCATTATTTGAGTTCTCAAGGCCAAGCCTAGAAGCTAGTTTGCAGTTTGCTTGTAGTTTAGTATATGATGCTTGGTGTTTCCTTCCTTAAAAGGTGAGTTGTTCATAACCTTGTGTGTGCTGAGCTGAGGTCCTCGCACAGCAAAGGGCAAAGAGGTAATAGGAATTAGAGTCTCCTTCAGCCTTTTCAGCACGTTGGCCTATATACACACTTCTAGTAAACACTCCTTCAACTGTGTCTTGAGGAACATAAGCAAGCCAGAAGCTGTCAGCGTGTCATCAGGTATGTGAACTTGCAGCATCTGATCACCAGAGCTGCATCATAGGGTCAAAACACTCCAAAATGACCTATCTTAAGGTATACAAGTGATTATTGTCTGTTAGGGGTTGAATTGTGGTCCCCCCCCCAAATTCATATGTGGAAGTTCTAACCCCCTAGTACCTCAGAATGTGAGCATATTTGGAGATGACGTCTTCAAAGAAGTGATTGTGTTAAAAATGAGTTCCTTCATCCATATGACTGCCCTAATAAGAGGAAATTTGGACACAGGGGAAGATCGCTCATCTGTAAGACAAGGAAAGAAGCCTCAGAGGAAACAACTCTGCTGATACCTTGATCTCAGACCTCTGGTCTCCAGAACTGTGAGAAAACTAATTTCTGTTGGTTAAGTCACCCAATCTGTGGTACTTTGTTGTGACAGTCCTGGCAAGCTCAACACTGTCCAACTGAAGGTGGCATCTTTATGATGATTGCTTAATGAGGAGCGGCTTCCAGAATAGTGATTATAATTGTAACCTTAGCTTTACAAGTTCTCGTGAGCAACGAAAATGGCAGGAACCATTCATAGGGGTATGTATTGTCACTGGCAGATTTCTGTGCTTCTAAAAAGGATAGAATCATTTCTCAACTAGGTTTTTGTTCCTTCATTTTTTTTGCATATGCACACTTGAGAGACATGAAGTGCCCCCAGGCCTGTGTAGTCCTCAGATAAGGACAAAACTTTCTTCTCAAAAACCCTCTAAGTGCCGGCCCAGTTTAAGGCATTAAAGGGGAACAAAAAAAAAGTGGCCGGGACTCTGCCCCTGCCCTCTGGAAACAAAATCTTGCAGAGACCTGGTTGTGCAGCTGGATCACTTAAGGAGCTAAGAAGCGTCAGGTGTCCACATCAGCCCCAGGCCTACTGACAAGTCTCCTGGGCTCCCCAGGCCCAGGTGACCCTGAAGCAGTCCACTGAAGTGTTGGAGACCATGTAAGATAGAGGTGCAGACGTCTATATTTAATGCAAGCCAGACCATGGTGAGTGTTACAGGTATAAAATATTAAAATCCAGGAGCAAGAGTGGAAAAGTCCTAAGAGAAGACTAGTAAAGAAAAGTGGGGAAGACTAGTCTGGATCTACGTTGTAATAAAGTAAAGATGGGGTAATGCGTTCCAGATAGAGGCCTAAAAATTTTAGAATATTTGGTTTACCAAATCAGTAGCTGCTTTTTGGTTATTTTTAATTATAATAATACTGTTTACTTGTGGCAGGCATTGTTCTTCTAAATGCTTTATAAATAACATTTAAGCTGCACAGTTGACCTGTGACCTGTGATTATCCCTACTTTACATAAGAAGAGGCTGAGGTACGGAGCTTTAAGTAAGTGGCACACAGTTACCTGGCTAGTTGAGCCATCTGTGCCTCACCAGCCAAGCTTTACTGATTCTTCAATAGTGGCCCAGTTAAATTTGGGATCTCATCATGGCATATATTCATTACATGTCTTTAAAGGAAATCACAAGATCTAGGCTATTCCATTAGACAAGACATATTTATAGACATGAATTAAGGAGCTCATGACGAGTATGCCTTGGTTTTTGTGTTCTCTGCTCTGTGGCAGCACGTCCCCTGCCCTTCTGTACCACTGCATCCTTGCTGAGGCACAGGCTGGAGATGGGCTTTGTTTGGGGACAAACATCAAGGTCAGTTTACAGCCACAGTAAGAGAATCACTTAAGGAAAAAGGTAGTGATACTGGGAAAGTTGGTCAATAGACAACTTCAGCCCTTCTTAGCTAACGTGGTCTAGGGCATTTTTAACACATTTACTTGCACATACAGCCTGGAATAATAGTAGTATATTTTAGCTTAATGTTTATTTAGTCCTTCTGGAGCATTATGAAAGTAGGTTTTATCTCATTTTATAGGTGGTGAAAACAAAGTTGAGAAAAATTAAGATTTTCTACGTATCAGTGATTTGCTGCCTGGTAGCACTTCTTAAAATGTATGTATTTCAGGGTGCTTGGTTGTGGCTCAGTCAGTTAAGTGTCCAACTCTTGATCTTGGCTCAGGTCATGATCTCAGGGTGGTGACTTCAAGCCCCATGTTGGGTTCTCTTTCATGTTAATCTGATGATGTGACACCTCATTTCAGGGTGCATTAAACTGCTGCCTGTAATAGTTGCATGTTTGCTCTGGGGTGGTGAAATGCATTTTTATAAACGGAGAACAACTTTGTGGGCCATTGTGCTTCATTGGTTTAGAGAACTGGCACTCAGCTATGAAAGATGAATTATTCAAAAGCATGGGAGATGACATAATACTCTATTATGGAATTTTTCAAGATGCCTGACCCAGATATGCTGCAGCAAAAAGTGAGCCAAGCTATTTTGCATCTGAAATTCCAAAAATGCAAATAGTGTTTCAGTATGTGCTCTCTTTGGGAAGGGAACATGTTAGACTTTAAGGGTGGTAAGGAGAGAGGCACATAAAATGGCCTGTGACCCAGAGATCCAATTTCAAGCTTCTAAAAAGGAAAAAAAGAAAGAAAAAGGTATGTATAGCACCCTAGTCCTTTCTTACAGGTGTGTGGTTAGGACAAAGGACTACATCAGTGTTTTTAACAGTGTAGGTAGAAGAAATCTAAATGTCCTCCAGAAGGGCAATGTCGAATACATTGTGGCACATCCATACAAAGCAATACAGTGCTATCAATAAGAATGAGGTAATCCATATGTTAACATGGAACTATCTCCAAAACATATGAAGTGAAAAAACATGTTGTCTGACCTATTATCTGTATCTATACAATATAGTAACCTGAATTGTACAAAGAAGATACTATAGATTGTCAATTCCCTTTTATACTTTCCTGTGTTACAGAGTCTGGAAAGCTAAAACCTGCTTCCCAGACTTCTTTAGAGCTAAGATTCCAAAAAAAAAAAAAAAAAAAAATCAAAGTTCTCTGATCAGATGTACTTGTGTGAGATGCTGATTCAGAATTGAGTTATGTGGGGAGAGCAGCAAGGCCTGAGGCATCTATTATGAAGGCTTGGATCTTACCAAGGGTGATGTGATTTTGGAGCTAATGGCTGTGATGGATGGAGGTTTTCTGATGTGGCAAGTAGCTTCTTGATCATAACAGCAGCTGTGCCTTGCAATTTCACTTCTGCAGTTATGGGATTGGGAATCATTCCTAGAATTCAGCCTACAATCCATTTCAGGCCTTTTCAATGATATTAAGTGTTTATGATACTGCTTAATAAATACCTTTTGCCTAAACTAGATAGAGGAGATTCTGTTGTCTGAAAATAGAAATGCTGATCAAGTAATTGGTATCAGAAATATTGTAGGAAACATATCCTCAAGGAAAGCCTCTGCCTCCCCGGGGGGTGGTGCCATTGAGGAAGCCGCTGTGGCCCCGGCGACTGGTTCGGCCCTAGGCCCAACCCCTGCCCCTTCTGCCTCCTGGACCTGATTTCCGGCCCCACTCTGAGCCTCAGCACTGGATGCAGCTGGGGCCACTGCCTCAGCTCCAGCTGCGTCCAGAGCAGAGGCTTCATCCTGGGCCCTGTCCTCTGCCCGAGTGCGGACTGGGGTTGGAGGACCGAATCCCGGCCCCAGGTCAATGGTGAATCCGGCCCTTAGTCCGGCTCTAGCCCTGGCTCCAGTCCCAGCCACAGCCCTGGTCTTGGGCTTGGCCATTCTCTTCTTTGTCTGGTTTCTTCCCCTGGCATATTTGTAGACACAGTACCAGGCACTAGCTCCAATCACTATCCCCGCGGCGACGCAGCCAGCATCTCGAACTCGGTTCATGGTGCAGCTGGAGTAATTCTCTGATCCAGGGCGTGGAGCTGGCTTGCCTAAACGGGATGTGTGCACGTCTGGGCGAGGCACTTCCACTCAGGCTCACAGGTTTTCCCCAGGCTGCAAGCCGAGCAGGACCTGCTGGGAGCAGGAGCAGTTAACTTTTTTCCACCAGGCTTGTACTTGTGCAGGGCCCCAAATTCAGACAGACCTCCAAGGATTCAGGGCTGTTTCCTCTTCCCTCAGTTCAGTGAAAGCTTCATCCTAAGGACAGACTTTCGGTTCGAGGGTCGTGATTTTCCACTCTTTCTCCGTCCTGGGCTCCGCCTCCCACCCCCTACCCCCAAATTCCCTAATAACCGCCATGTCTCCCTCCAGCGTACCAGAACTCCTTTTCCAGGACTGAATAAACGGGGGTGAAGGGCTGTGTGGGTTGGAGGTGTCTGGAAAGCAGTCTGGGAGTTAGCACAGCGGTTTAATACCAGATCCTCTCAGGGTCCCCCCCTCCTGTGAAGCCCAGACAGCGCCAAACCCGCCATCTCCCCTCCAGAGGCTGGCACACCCATTTTCCAGTACCCCCAAAGGACAGGGGGCCGGCCGGGGGCGGGGGGAGAAGGGAAAGCGGAGGGGTGGTCGGGGGAGGTATCAGCAAAGTGAGGGTGAGAGTGAATGGGCCGGGCCGGCTTGTTTCCAAACTGCGTCCCCTCCGGTCACCCTTGCCCAACCACCCCGCTGGCCTTATATGCGCTGCCACGTTTATTTCTCTTCCCTCCTCCTCTCAAAACAGGACGGGATGTAGGGTGCGGGGCCTGCCCGGATCTGGGGGAATTTTCTCCTCCTCCTCCTCGCCTGGGTTAAACGCACGGCAGTGCGCAGCGCAAGAGAGCTGGTACCCAGAGGAGCGAGAATTGGAATTTTATTTTGGTGTAGTCATTAGAGGTTATTCAAGAAAGTCAACCATCCTCATTAGATAGGGGAGGAGGAGCTGCTTCTGTTGACAAGGGAAACCTTTGGGTGCTTGGAGTTATTGGAATTTTCTCAAGTATCACCATTCCATCTTTCAGGTTTGTACTCCCCCCCCAATATAATAATTCTCATTTAAGAAATCTGTTGAAACTGTGAGTTCAACCTGTGTTGTAAATCAGTAACCCATAGGATCAGATTCTGCTTCTGGTTTATCACTGTTATCAGCCTTACGGCTAAAAGAGGGAAGATGGGATTCAGGACAGTCATGGAGAATCCCTGGTTCTCCGACCTAGCTTATATGTCTATTAGGCAGTTGGATAGGAATAGTGCCTCACTGTTAAGGTTTTCCATTTTTTCTTGTATCAGTTCTGGTAAGTTGCGCTTTTCCAGGAATTTGTCCATTTTGTAAACATATTCAAATTTAGTCGCTTAAAGTTGTTCTATATTTTATCAATGTCTATAGCATCTGTAATGTCCCCTTTTTGGCTCCTGATGTTGATAAGCTGTGTGTTTTTTTACGATTAGTACTGCTTATAGGTTATCAGCTTTCTTAGCATCCTAAAGAATCAATTTTTTGCTTTGATCAGATCATTTTCTGTATTGTATGTTTGTTTCCTATGACATTAAATTCTACCTTCTTAATTCCTTCTGTGTACCTTTTTGGGTTTAAATTGCTGTTCTTTTTCTTACAGTGGCTACTTAAATAACTGAACTTTTTTTTCTTTTCTGATAGACATTTAAGACTATAAATCATCTTTTCGATACAACTATAGTTACATCCTATGAGATTTTATAAGCCTTTTGTTCATTATCATTCAGTTAAAAATATTTTCTAATTTCTGCTGTGCTTTCTCCTTTGACCCTTGAATTATTTATAAATGAATTCCTTAATTTCCAAGTTTTCAGGAGTTTTCTAATTTTGAATTGATTTCTAGCTTAATTCCATGATGAGCAAAGAACATACTCTGAAAAATTTCAGTTCTATAAAAAAATAAAATTTGTTGATATTTGCTTCATGGCCCTGTTATCAGGTCAATTTTGGAAAATGTTCCATGTATATTTGAAAAGAATGTATATTCTGTTATTTTGGGATACATTGTTCTATGAATAACAATTAAGTCAACTTGATAATCAAGTCAAACTTGATAATAAACTTGATAGTTAAGTCAACTTGATAATTACAAGTCAACTTGATAATCAGCTTACTGAATTTTTTGTCTCCTTATATAAGTTATCAAGAAAGGTATATTAAATTCTCCCACTCCAGGGGCGCCTGGGTGGCTCAGTCGTTAAGCGCCTGCCTTCGGCTCGGGTCATGATCCCAGGGTCCTGGGATTGAATATCCCACTCCCACCTGCTTGTGTTCCCTCTCTAGCTGTCTCTCTCTGTGTCAAATAAATAAATAAAATCTTTAAAAAATAAAAAAAATAAATTCTCCCACTCTGTACATTTGTCTGTTTCTGCTTTTAGTTCTGTCATTTTTGTTTTATTTTAAAGCTGTGTTTCTGAATATTTAAAAATTTAGAAATGTATCTTGTGGGATCAATCCTTTTATTGTTATAAGAAGGATGGTATCTTTGGGGCACCTGGGTGGCTCAATCAGTTAAGTGTCTGCCTTTGGCTCAGGTCATGATCTCGGGGTCCTGGGATCAAGCCTTGCATCAGGCTCCCTGCTTAGTGAGGAGTCTGCTTTTCCCTCTCCCTCTGACCCTTCCCCCTGCTTGTGCTCGCTCTCTCTCTCAAATAACTAAATAAAATCCTTAAAAAAAAAAAAAGGCGGCTCCTGTCTTTATGATGTGTTTTTCCTTTTTTTTTTTTTTTTAAAGATTTTATTTATTTATTTGACAGCGAGATAGGGAACACAAGTAGGGAGCATGGGAGAGGAGGAAGCAGGCTTCCCACTGAGCAGGGAGCCTTATGTGGGGCTTGATCCCAGGACCCTGGGATCATGACCTGAGCCAAAGGCAGATGCTTAACCAACTGAGCTACCCAGGTGCCCCGTGTGTCTTTCCTTTAAATAAAGTCTATTTTGATAATAAAATAGCTGCACCACATTAATTTTGGTACTTACATAGTATATGTTCTTTTACTTTTTTATTTTTATTTTTTTAGAGATTTTATTTATTTATTTGACAGAGAGTGACACAGCGAGAGAGGGAACACAAGGAAGGAGAGTGGGAGAGGGAGAAACAGGCTTCCCACTGAGCAGGGAGCCCGATGCAGGGCTCGATCCCAAGACCCTGGGACCACGACCTGAGCCGAAGGCAGACGCTTAACGACTGAGCCACCCGGGCGCCCCTCTTTTACTTTTTTAATTAAGTTTCTAATTTTAATTCTAGTATAATGTACAGTATTATATCAGTTTCAAGTGTACAATATAGTGATTCAACAATTCTCTACAACACCCAGTGCTCATCACAAGTGCATTTCTTAATCCCCATCACCTGTTTCACCCAACCCCCCACCCATCTCCCCTCTGATAACCATCAGTTTGTTCTCTATAGTTAAGAGTCTGTTTTTTTGGTTTATCTCTTTTTTACTTTGTTCTTTTGTTTCTTAAATTCTACATATGAGTGAAATCATATGGTATTTGTCTTTCTCTGACTTATTTTGCTTAACACTGTACTCTCTAGCACCATCCATGTTGTTGCAGATGGCAAGATTTTATTATTTTTTTATGGCTGAATGATATTCCATTGTGTGTGTGTGTATATATATATATCACATCTTCTTTATCCATTCATCTGTTGATGGACACTTGGGCTGCTTCCATTATTTCACTATTGTAAATAATGCAGTAAACATAGGGGTTCATGTAACCCCTTGAATTAGTATTTTTGTATTTTTTGGGTAAATACCCAGTACTGTGATTACTGGACTATAGGGAGTTATATTTTGGAAGTTTTCCTTTTTCTTCTATTCTTTGGGATAGTTTGAGGAGAGCAGGTATTAACTCTTCTTTAAATATTTGGTAAATTCACCTGTGAAGCCCTCTGGTCCTAGACTTTTGTTTCTTGGTAGTTTTTCGGTTACTGATTCAGTTTCATTGCTGGTAATTGATCTGTTCAAATATTCTGTTTCTTCCTGCTTCAATTTTTGTATATGTTTCTAGAAGTTTATCCATTTCTTCTAGGTTATCCAGTTTGTTGGAATATAATTTTTCATAATATTCCCTTATAATTGTTTGTATTTCTGTAGTGTTAGTTATTTCTCCTCTTTCATTTGTGATTTTGTTTATTTGGGTCCTCTCTCTCTCTCATGAGTCTGGCTAGAGGTTTATCAATTTTATTGAACTTTTCAAAGAACCAGCTCTTGGTTTCATTGGTCTGTTCTATTGTTTTTGTTGTTTTGTTTTGTTTTTTTGTCTTGTTTTTTGTTTTTATTTTTTAGTTTCTATATAATTTATTTCTGCGGTAATCTTCATTATGTCCTTCTTTTTGATGGTTTTGGGTTTTGTTTGTTCTTTTTCTTGCTCCTTAGGTGTAAGGTTAGTTGTTTATTTGTGATTTTTCTTACTTCTTGAGGTAGAACTGTATTGTTATAAACTTCCCACCTGGAACCACTTTTGCTGCATCCCAAAGATTTTGGACCATTGTGTTTTCATTTTCATTTGTTTCCATGTAATTTTGTATTTCTTCGTTGATTTCTTGGTTGACCCATTTGTTGTTTAGTAGCATGTTATTTAACCTCCATGTATTTGTGCTCTTTCCAGATTTTTTCTTGTAGTTGATTTCTAGTTTCATAGCATTGTGGTAGAAAAGATGCATGGTATGACTTTGATCTTTTTAATTTATTGGAATTTATTTTATGGCTAATATGTGACCTGTTCTGGAGAATGTTCCATGTGCATTCAAAAAGAATGTGTATTTTGTTGTGTTAGAGTGGAATGTTCTGAATATATCTGTTAAATTCATCTGATCCATTGTGTCATTCAAAGCTACCATTTCTTTGTTGATTTTCTGTTTGGATGAATTGTCCACCGATGTGTTAAATCCCCTAATATTATAGTATTACTATTGATTAGTTCCTTTCTGTTTGTTATTAACTTTAAATATTTGGGTGCTCCCATGTTGGGTGTGTAAATATTTACAATTGTTATATCTTCTTGTTGGATTGTCCCTTTTATTATTATATACTGCCCTTCTTTTGTTTCTTGTTACAGTCTTTGTTTTAAAATCTATTTTGGCTGATATAATAAGAATTGCTAACCTGGCTTTCTTTTGACATCTATTTGCATAATAAATGTTTCTTCATCTCCTCACTTTATTATTTTTTTTAAAGATTTTATTTATTTATTTGACTGAGAGAAACACAGCGAGAGAGGGAACACAAGCAGGGGGGAGTGGGAGAGGGAGAAGCAGGCTTCCCGCTGAGCAAGGAGCCCGATGCGGGGCTCAATCCCAGGACCCTGGTATCACGACCTGAGCCGAAGGCAGACACTTAACGACTGAGCCATCCAGGTACCCCTTCATCTCCTCACTTTAAATCTGCAGGTGTCTTTAGGTCTGAGAT